CATATTTTATCATTTATTATATTATTGCAACAAAATAAACTCGCATATAAATAATTAAACAATATAAGACATTTCTAAAAATAATAATTTTTAATACAAAATCTATATTTTCAATTGCTGATATAAAAAATTATGCGTCTAAAAAATTACAAGTGATAATAAAAACATATGCCTCAATTGATAATGGTTTTTAAAAACCATAATATTATATAATTATTAGCAACTTACATTGACAAGGTCATTAAACTAATATAACTCCTATTTTAGACAATGTTTTATAGAATGGACTAATAAGGAAAAATTTATAGGCCTAACCAAATCAACAATTCTAGAAAAAGAGAAAACGACCAATCCAAATCATAAAACTATATGATGGTTAGAGCTTCCACTTTGATGACATGATGGAAGGTAGATAAGTAATTGTAAAAATTATTGTGAGATATTAAATTTTTATAAGATTATCTTCCATTTTTATTGATATATAAACAATTACACAGTTGACCATTATTGCTTATCTAAAATATGCAATCATATGATCTCAGCAGTTGTAGTAATGGCCTTAACTTACATCGCCACACACATAATATATGCTGGTTAATTTGCAGTCATAGCTATGATACTCACGATATTAATCAGAATTTATTATGTTAGATAAATTGAAAACTAAAACACTAAAAATCTTTAGAAGAAATTATGCATATATATCAGAGACCTGCAGAGGTACCATCCCGGTTTTAAAATTTTTAGGCCCGGCCCGGATATTTAAAAAAAAAATTTTTTACGGCCCGGCCCGGATTAAAAAATTTAAGGCCCGGCCCTGATATTTTTTTAAAAATTTTTTTACGGCCCGGCCCGGCCCTGATATTTTTTTAAAAAATTTTTTACGGCCCGGCCCGGCCCGGAATTTAAAATTTAAGGCCCGGCCCGGATATAAGTATATTTCATATTTTATTCAGATATTTAATTACAAATTGATACTATAAAAAATTTGTGCAAATAATATTTTTGAATATTAAAGATTCTATTTGTGATTTTTAATTTTTATTTAAAAAATACATGTAAAAAGCTAATATTTTGAGAATATTATATTAAATTTATAAAAATTATAAAACTGTTATTTATAAAAATGGATATTTTGAGAATATACTATATTTTATATTGCATTTATAAAAATAAAACTAATATTCATAAAAATGGTAATAATATTTTGAGCATATACTATATTTTATATTGCATTTAAAAATAATAAAACTAATATATAATTTATAAAAATGGAAAATATTTTGAGAATATAATATATTGTATATAATTTACTATTTAATTTATAAAGTAAAAATAAATCGCTATTTAAAAAAATGCATGTATAATAAATAGTATTTTGAAAATATAATCAAATTGCACAATATTAATATAATTTATTTTATAATATAAATTTTTAACAAAAGAAGATAATTGTATTATATAATATATTGTAAAAAAAAATAATAAAAAACTTTCATGACTCAAGGTAAAATATAATAAATGCAATAAATATTTGACAGTTTGCAAAGTAAAAAACCAGCATGATTGACGAAACCCTATACTCAAGAAAGATATTAAAAATTCACAAATTATCATGAAGAAAGAGAAGCATATCTACCTTTTCAGGTTGAAGATTACTTCTTCTTTCTTTAAGATTTCTTCCAGTAGTGGAAAAATTCCGCTCACAGCTTGCACTTGAAGCAGGAATAGCCAATACCCGTTTTGCCAATTTTGCTAAAATTGGGAATTCGCTTTGATGAGAAGCCCACCACTCTAACAAATTATCCACCTTAAATGTTTCATCTATTTTTTTATTTATGTAATTATAATATTCATCATCGGGTATTGACATATTACCAGAATTACCATCGCCCCATTTGTCATAAAACGATTCAGTTTGTTTAACAACAGTCGTAATTTGACTGGTCGATGGTATTTCATTTACTTCCTGAGCCTCTTGTGATTTAATATAATCTTTTATATAGTTTTCCGTCATCTTGCGATCTGTCCCTGACAGCATACGTAATTGTTTGAATTTGGGACAGAGAAAAAGAGAAATAAAATGATACTTGTGTAAAACAAATTTTTCAATTAAAAAATGCTTTATATTAAGTAATATCAATTTTATTTCTCTTTTTTCGCTTTGAAAGGTATTACAAACTTCAAGAAGTTCATAATACCATATTACCACTTTAAAAAGAGTACAAGAGTCCAACTGTAACTCAACAATAGCTCTGTTAAAATTCTCAAGAATGTTGACTAGATCCTGAAGGATCGGAAAGTCTATAATATAATACTTTTCCGATCCCCCTTGTTCTAGAAGAACTTTTTTAATTTCTTCATTTTGAGAATAAACAGAATTGAGCATACTGTATTTAGAGTACCAGCGGACTTCTATATCTTGATAAAGGGCTTTTAAATGCTGGCATTTATTACTTTGTTTTAAATGCCCCACTAATATTTTAGTATTATCTATTGTTGATTTTATTAATGGGGCATTACTTTTCAAATATTTGGAGTTAAATGAATTTCTTAAAATTGTATTTAATAAATGACAAGAACAATTTAATCGTTCATTTAACTCCAATGCTTTTATAATATTTTTACCTTGGTCTGTAACAAAAATTATATTAATAAAATCGTTATTGTTAAAACTAAAATTATGAAAATTTTTTAATAGTTCATCCTTAACTACTTGGCTAGTCTTAGACACTTCTTTAAATTTAGCGGTAAATAGGTTTCTCTTCACTAACTTCCAGTCATCTGATATATAGTGCATGTTAACTGTTATAAACGAGTTCTTTTTATGGTCATCGCACCATATATCAGTGGAAGCAGCCATAAATCGATTCTTGATTACTGGGGCAATAGTATCAACCAAAATGGTTCTTATTTTATTACATTTTTCTTTAAGGTGGCGTGATAGAGTGGTGGGATGTGAAATTAATGAGTTGATATCTATTTTACCATATGTTGCCCCAACATCGACTAGAGCCTGGCTGAATTCAAGAAACCCATTCCCAGCTATCATTTCGAAAGGTCTAATATATTTTGCGCAAAGTGTTAAGGAATGATCTATAAATTTTTGTTTTAAATATTTCATATTACATTTATAAGTGGGTTTTTAGGTGTAAAAAAAAATTTATTAATTTTCATGGATTTACCATCACATTTATGTCTTTTTAAATGTGATGTACCATGGTTATAATTATAAGATAATAAATTTGAACAATTTATGCATTGCACATAGCCAATATTTTTTTTATTATTATTATCTATGATTATTTTAAATTTAGTCCAAATATCATATTTTAAAGTATTATTAGTATTTTTAAAAGAATAAATATTATTTTTAATTTTGTCAATTATATCATTAGTGTTTTGTGCCATGATATTCCTTTTATTGATTGTTTTGGAAATATTCTAAAAATTTAGATATGAATTATAAGATTTATATTTAATATTAATTTTTACTTTAGCTTCTTGAATGCTTAAAATTGATTGAGTATCACTAATTCTAATGATAATATATATTAAATAATTATTTATATCTTACATTGATTATAAATATCTAATATCAATATTTATTAAATAATGTAGATTGAAATTATTATATTTATTTATTATAATAAATTTAAACTGAATATTATAGTTATAAGAAAAAGTATGTTATTAAAATTTTATATTATTTACAAAAAGATTCCATCTAATTTGAAATAGATTTTATAAACTAATATATGAAGCTAAAAAATATCAATGTACATTTTTATTTTAAAAGAATAATTCAAATTTTGAAATCATTTATTCTGAAAATTTTATCAATGTTTAAATTTAATTTTACAGTAAGATAAAAAATTAGCAAAATAGAATTTTTTATTACTTAAGTCTGTTTATGGGATATATCCACTTCTAAACTATTCTTCTAACACAACTGTTCTAAGTCTAACTTCTAAGTAAGTAATTTAAAATGGAGTTTTCCGGTATCTTTCAGGAAATTAATAATTAGATCGATCTGTGGGTGTTAGGTAGTGTTAACCATCACCCAATATTATATTAATCATAACTATAATATAATATAATCTTATAACCAATAACTCATAATGTAAAATTTTTTATAAAAAATATTAAGGCCCGGCCCGGCCCGGGTTTAAAAATCTTAGGCCCGGCCCGGCCCGGCCCGGCCCGGATATATTTTAAAAAAATCTTAGGCCCGGCCCGGCCCGGATATATTTTAAAAAAATCTTAGGCCCGGCCCGGCCCGGCCCGGATATATTTTAAAAAAATTTTTTAGGCCCGGCCCGGCCCGGATATGTTTAAAAAAAATTTTTAGGCCCGGCCCGGGTATATTTAAAAAATTTAAAATACGGCCGGGCCGGGCTTAGGGCCGGGCTTGCAGGTCTTTGATATATATTGAAGCCTTAAGTTATTTACATAGTAATTATGCCATATTATAAATGAAACATTTTGTAACTATAAAATAAAAACCAGAGTGATATGATAAAAGCAATTAATATTTTATATATTATTGTCGCACCACCTCTGGTTGGTAATAACTTAAAATAATAGTAGTTTGTAATAATATAAAAAATTCGTATTATAAATTTAACTCAAAACTGTTTTTCAAATAAAAAATAGCTTTTCTAAAACACGTAAAAAAGAAGAAGAAGAAAAGATAGCATATTTATTACATCCATTGTGGGATGAATAATATATTTAATTTTTAATAACATTTTAATAAATAGATGGCGTTAAAGAATTGAATGTAAATTGATACTTATATTTATTATCAAACGCATTTATTAGTAAAATTTATTAAAATATTAACTGTAATATATTATTAGCTGTCAAATACGCTCGTAAAAGTGGAATTATATCTAATATTTTTTAACCAATCTATATATATAATCCTCAAAAAATGTCAATCAAATTTAGCCAATAGTTTTCTTTTAAATATTATTTGTCCAATCAAAATGATTATAGCAAATATGATCAATGGTAATCAACGTGAAAACTAAATCATTCATTCACAAATCACTTCCATAAGCCCCAAATCAAGCATTAAAAACATTACTCAAGTATATCTATACTGGGAAAATGAACTTAACTTCTCAAAAAGTAAATCTATTATATTCAATTATTATTTTTTTCAAGATAATTATTTTCTTACGTATAAAATACATGCAACTTAAAATTAAATTATATCAGGCTCAATAGGAAATTATAGGTTACAAAATAATGGAAAGAAAACCAAACAAGGTAAAATTTTTTTTTACAATTTTGATTAAAGATAATATATATAATATATAATTTAATACACATATATAAAAAGTTTTTTCATAGGTTACAAAATAATGGAAAGAAAACAAAATCTTAATGAAGAATATTCAGATGTAGTTTTCATTGTGGATGGTACAAGATTTTGGAGCGAATACTTTAGGTTATTACCTTAATTTATCTGTAACCTATATAATTTAGTGTTTGAAAAATAGAGCCCTTTTATATAGTGGAATGAAAAAATTTTTGCCAGATTGTAATGAAATAGAATTAAAAGATGCCCCAAATCAAGCATTTAAAACATTACTCAAGTATATCTATACTGGGAAAATCAACTTAACTTCTCAAAAAGTAAATCTATTTTATTCAATTATTATTTTTTTCAAGATAATTATTTTTTTCAAGATAATTATTTTCTTACATATAAAATACATGCAACTTAAAATTAAATTATATCAGGCTCAACATGAAATTATATAAAAATATTGTTCAGTCTGGATGGTCAATATTTTAGCAAGATTTGTTCAAACCAATTTAATCAGTCAGAGTACAAGATAATGCCACCCTTAAGATTTTTTATTATAAACATCCCTCTGGCTAAACTGATTTTTATAGGTCGATTGGATCTGATATTAGTGTTGTCAAGGGCCTGTTTTTGATATTACATGTTTATAAAATAGAAATATCTAGGGATCTACCAATATCTTTAACAGATTGAACAGATATTTCGTCTTTTTAAAAATATTATCTGCCAATTATATAAAAAATTTTAACCAATCCGATAAAATTGTTTATTACTTATTATGTATATAGATTAATGTTATATAAATAAGTGATTTATCATTAAAAATATTTTATAATAAACTATAAATGATCATTACAATATATTTAAAGGACTTATGTTATTGTATAATTAAATTATAGATGTTATACTATTAAAAAGTATATGAGATGAGTAGATATATGTATTAAAATTTAAAACCTAAAATGTTTACAGACTATAGATCAGTAATCAGCTATTATTAATTTAATAATTTCAATATTGAATTGGATCAGCTTCCAAATAGTACTTTCGATGCACCTCTAGAGATAGCTAAGCTATATATTTATGCTATTTTATTCATCAATTGTTTGTTTTTTTTGGAATTTATTTTTGCAAACTACAGGCAATTTTTTAAAATTCTATTTGACCTAAGAAAGATAGATATTTTTTACATGATATATTTAATATGCTAAAAATTCCCTTTGGTGCAGATTTTAATGAGTAGTTGAAAATATAAAATTACATCATTTTCTAAGGTTTGAGATGGGTTAGATTTCGAGTTTTTCTCCCACTATAGATCTAGCTCCAAGTGACTCTCAGTTACCATTTACTTTAAAAAGATGACAGTTTCCTATAATTCCCGCTTTTGTGATTACAATAAATAATAGTCAAAGACAAACTTTTAATCATGTAGGCTTATTCCTCCCTGAGCCCGTCTTTGCCCATGGACAACTATATGTGGCTCTTACTAGATGTAAATCTCAAAATAATATGAAAATATGATAAACATTCACACAAAATATCGTATATAATGAAATCTTAAATTCATAATTTGTAAGAAATTTAAAAAAGTCACCAACTTTGTTATTCACCATCAAATCACCAACTTTACATCATCTTCAAAAACGAAACCACCTTGAGCAAAGAAAAAAGAACTTCTTCACCATTGCTAAACCACTCACCAACAACAGTAAATTCTATTTTATAATTTCAATTTACACGTTTTATTTCAGGTTATTTACGGCAAACTACGAGCAAGGAAATTACAACATCATCTTCAAAAACGAAACCACATTGAGCAAAGAAAAGAGAACTTCTTCACCATCGCTAAACCATCTTCCTCACCAACAACAGTAAATTCTATTTTATAATTTCAATTTACACTTTTTTTCAGGTTATTTACGGCAAACTACGAGCAAGGAAATTACAACATCATCTTCAAAAACGAAACCACATTGAGCAAAGAAAAGAGAACTTATATTATTCATCAATCATTGAATAAAAAAGACAATTCATCACTCTTAGTCTTAATGGGTTGGAATTGGCCTGAAGGAGGAGGGGGAGGGGTAAAAAGAATTATCGTAAAAGAACGAATAAAATTCTCATCCCCGTCATTTTTGACGGGTTATCAACTAGTTATATATAATAGAGGATTATAAACTATATATCTACTTACTTTTTATAAAAAACTTATTTGGACCTTGAAAATATTTTTAGGAAGAGGGGTAATTAAATTTAAAAATGAATAAAATAGTTGATTAGTGATTTAGAACTCGAATTGCAATAATAAATCTGTTAATTCTCAATTAATAAATTATTATATATATTTAATTAAGGTTATACAATAATTTAAATAATATAAGTTAAATTAGCTTCAACTGTTAATGCTAAATTAATATTTATGAGTGATATTGAAATTCTATTTTAATCCATAATTTGATTGCAAGCTGATATAGTGAAAATATAATTTATATGTATTAATCTAATCTAAGTATTAGTTTAATAAAAATTTAGATAGTCTTATTAATTTTTAAATAAAAATTAAATTTATATACTTGATAGAATTATAAAAGAAATCGTTCAGGGGGCAATCAAAAACATTTATTTTTAATTCAAAGGGATTTAAGGGGCCATTAAAAAAAATTTTTTGCTTCAGGGGGCTATTCAAAATTTTCAGGGGGCTCGAACCCCTGCGCGCCCCTTTCTAGTGACGCCACTGTAATCAAGGTTATTATATCGAAACCCCAAATGAGACATCAAGATAACGATACTATATATATATAACTTAGATTCATGTAATTCTTTTATTACAAACAAATAATATTAATATATAAAATCCTTAAACAATCCTAATAATCAATATAAAAGTTCACCAGCAATGGGCCGTGTCTAGAACTAACGCCCGTAATATTTAGTAAAATATACTAAAGCTAACACCCGTGATATTTAGTAAAATATACTAAACCTAACATCATGATTATTATTAACATTTTATCACGTGACAATTGAGAAATAAATCCAATAATAGGGAGAACAACCATAGTATAGGAATTAGACAAAGTTACAAAATAGTAATAATTTTTGTAAATTGATTAATTAAATATTAAAATTTTATTTATACACATGCTTATAAATGTATAGAACCTCCATACAAGCAATTCAAATTCATAAAAGATTGTTCATTTATATATAGTTACAATAACCATTAATTTTAAAATATTTATATGTGCCAATTAAATAAAAACAATTTGTAATGAATTTTGAATTTTATCATGTTAATTAAAATGAATTAACCAATCTGGCCTAATTTTTTTTAGGCTCAACTATAGCCCATTTTTTTCAACTCTAATTGTTTTGTCCCAAACTTAAAATTTTATTTATTTTAATAAAAAAGAACAAAAACATTTTTTTGCTTATTTTCTTGTAATTTTTATATAAAAAGTTTTAAGCCATACAACCAATAATGATATTTACAATTTTTATCAGAGACCAATACCCCAAAATAAAAATTTTTCTTTACAAATTTATAAACTGACAAGATGGTTCTGCTAATTTTTCTATTATTTTAATTTACATAACTTAATTTTAAATGTTAAGCAAATAAAAGATAAAGTCTATAAGGTATATAACTTTTTTGTTAAATATATTTGTTATTTATTAGTATTGGAGAATATGTATTAGTACATTGGCTAAAAAAAATAAGCTTCAAATAGTGTATAATAATGTACTTTTATTTGTGTATATAAACTAAATATTTATAAAGATGTATTTATAGTAAAAAAAAATATAAAAATTACTTTTGTGTGTAAATATTAATAGATCACTAAAACTTTTATAGTAAAAAATAAGACTAAAAAAATTATTCTCATAAAATATGTCATAATATAGTTATATATATATAAATATATCGTTTACAGGACAAAACTAAATTATAATGATAATTTTTATTCTTTATATAAATGCAACAAAATTTTTTTTTTATTTCAGGAATAATAAATAAAGGGTCAAAAGCAAGCCATTTGTCATTATAAAAAACAAACACTCTTGTTTAAAGCAATGTTGAGACACATGCAATTTCCACATCTGTTGCCCATGTGCCACTGCAACCCATTTTATTCTTCACAATGTAATCAGTAGTTTTTTGCCCTATAAATCCAGAAAAGTAGTTGGAATGTTGCAGTATAAAAGAAATAATAGCCGTCCTGATCATCTCATGATGTTCCTCGTTATTGCTAATCTCCTTGCTAATACATCTATAATAAAAATTAGTATGCATAATTTAAGTGATAATATAAATTCCTGAATAAACAATTTCCATCACCTAGGACTTGGTCGACCTTATCGGGAACCCCTAAGTTTGTGGATGTTAAATTTTGAGGTGCACTTAAGGTCAGGCCTAAAATTTCAGAATGATAGGTCACGCCTAAATCAGAATGATAGGTCAGGCCTAAAATTTCAGAATGATATTTTTTCCATTCTGATGTTGTTGGCTGAAAAATGGATATTGGATCTTGTATAGATACAATTTTTTCTAAAAAAGTTTAAATCATTATTGTCACACTATAAATTTAAAAGTACTGAATGAAGTTTTGAGAGGTCTATATTTATGTGCAAGTTGATCCACTTAAATTTAATTTTATAATAGAAAATAAAATCTCATAATTGGGCATGACTAAAATACGCGTCCCCGGTCAAACGGGTTTAATTTATATAATATTAATAAAAAATGTTATTTAGCTTTATAAGATGAGTTAAAAAATGTTTTATATGATTAAAAAAAAATGATAACTTAGTAAAATTTTTAAAAATTATTTTTTTACATGAAAAAACTACGCGTCCCTGGTCAAGATACAATTTTTTTTAAAAAATAAAAGCAGATTCATATTTAGCTCATTAAATGAATATTGAAAATGTTTTTTATGATTTAAAAAAAAATGATAACAGTAAAATTTTAAAAAATTATTTTTTTAAATGAAAAACTACGCGTCCCCGGTCAAGATACATTTTTTTAAAAAAAATAAAAGCAGATTCATATTTAACTCATTAAATGGATACAGAAAATGTTAATTTTGATTTTAAAAAAAGTGGTAACTTAGTAAAATTTTTAAAATACTAATTTTTTACATGAAAAAACTACGCGTCCCCGGTCAAGATACAATTTTTTTAAAAAAATAAAAGCAGATTCATATTTAGCTCATTAAATGGATACAGAAAATGTTTTTTTTTGATTTAAAAAAAGTGGTAACTTAGTAAAATTTTGAAAAAACACTTTTTCTTCATTTTTTGACTAAAATACGCGTCCCCGGTGAAGATAGATTATATAAAAATGAATATAAAATCGTGTATAGTTTTTCAAGGAGATTCCGAAAATGGTATTAAATTAATTTTCGAAAAAAAATTTTTTTTGACTAAACTATGCGTCCCCGGTCAAGATACATTTTTTTAAAAGATTCATATTTAGCTCATTAGTAACTTAGTAAAATTTTGAAAAAACATTTTTTTTTTCATTTTTTGACTAAAATACGCGTCCCCGGTCAAGATAGATTATATTTATAAAAATGAATATAGAATCGTGTATAGTTTTTCAAGGAGATTCCGAAAATGGTATTTATAATTTTTTTTGACTAAACTACGCGTCCCCGGTCAAGATACATTTTTTTAAAAGATTCATATTTAGCTCATTAGTAACTTAGTAAAATTTTGAAAAAACATTTTTTTTTTCATTTTTTGACTAAAATACGCGTCCCCAGTCAAGATAGATTATATTTATAAAAATGAATATAGAATCGTGTATAGTTAATCAAGGAGATTCCGAAAATGGTATTTATAATTTTTTTTGACTAAACTACGCGTCCCCGGTCAAGATACATTTTTTTTTAAAAAATATAAGCAGATTCATATTTAGCTCATTAAATGGATACAGAAATTTTTTTTTTTTTATTTAAAAAAAAGTAGAAACTTAGTAAAATTTTGGAAAAACACTTATTTTTTTCATTTTTGGACTAAAATACGCGTCCCCGGTCAAGATAGATTATTTTTATAAAAATGAATATAGAATCGTGTATAGTTTTTCAAGGAGATTCCGAAAATGGTATTAATAATTTAAAAGCAGATTCATATTTACCTCATTAAATGGATACAGAAAATGTTTTTTTTTATTTTTTAAAAAAAGTAGTAACTTAGTAAAATTATGAAAAAACACTTTTTTTTCATTTTTTGACTAAAATACGCGTATATTAAAATTTATAAATAACTATTTAACTTTGTATTAATTAAAGAAATTTTTTCTCTATGATGGTTTTAGCCATAAAAAGTTGGAAATTATTTATTTACACATTTTTATGTTTCCGCTCTTAGCCATGTGAAGGCAACCATTTATAAGAGCTTTTAGGTCTTAGTTAAAAAAACCAAGACCATGGATATATAGCGGGTTTTAAATTTTAAACCTGAAATATAACCATTATATTAGATTTAAAAAATTTAAAATTTATTAATTAAAAAAATAAATTACTCCCCATAATCTAATAACTCATCATCTGAATGATGATCATTATTAGACTTGGGATTAATATCTAATCTAAAAACATCCGACGCCAAGTCAACACAGGGTTCCTGGTTACTTGGTGTCGGCGCCGTTACGGGAATGGGCATTGTGGGTATCGGCACCGATACGGGGATGGGGATTATGGTAATCGGCGCCGATATGGGGATTATGGAAATCGGCGCCGATACGCGAAAGGGCACCGTAAAATTAGGCTCTCGGGCACGGCCCTCTTGACAATATCGGACGATATGATCGCCACCGCATCTGTAGCATCCAGATGCACGTCGAGAGCCACTCGAGGAAGATCCTCTTCCTCACTACCAATAGTTGGTATAATATTTTCCTTTTTCTATTACGTCTTATATTTTTATTATATTTTTTTCAAATTCTTTTTCTTTTTACATCATAATAAATTTTCTTCTGAAAAATCGATAATCAAAAAAATAATATATATAATTCCGAGAAAAAATAAATTACATGAAAAATATTGATAAATTTCAAAAATCGATAATCAAAAATAATATTGATAATTCCGAGAAAAAAAAAATAAATAAATAAAAAAAATGATGAACATAACTCCTCTTAGAGAATGTCTGTTCTATTCCGCATTTGATCTTGGTGTCTTCTCCATCGGCCCTTGGAGGTATCCACAACGCATATGCACCTCCCAGCACGA